ACCCTGAATGAGCAAAGAGAACCATAAACAAGTCAGGAGAAAATTAGGAAGGAAAAAAAAAAAAACAAACAAAAAAACCACAAACTTATCTGAAGTGAAGCACTGACACTTTCACAATCCCTAACCTGCCTTTCCTCCCAGCAACATGCTCTTTGAAAAGCTGCTCTCACTGAATTGGCAGTACCACTTGGTTCCCACTGCTCTGTGAACTGCAGGCTGCCAGAGCAAAGCCCATTGTAAAGCTGTTGTTTGCCTACAACAGGCATCTGCACACATCTATCAAGGCCACAGAAAGGCAACACGTTAGACCAGGAGAAGCCAGTCAGCCCATGCTAGTACACCACCACAAAACAGGCACTGCCTGCTGGATAGGAGCATTCTTTTTCAAGCACCTAGTCCACAATTTATAAGTCATTTAACTCAGAAATAATTCAGCTGGCCAAAAACATTATAGCATGCTTTTACCCCTGAGATTTTCCCTGGGAGGAGATTTTCACCTGACAATTTTATACTGCGAACAACCCTCACGAAGCTGAAGTTCCAAGAAAAAAATAAAGCCTGTCAGTTTTGCTTGAAACATCAACATTTAACTCTTCAGACAGACAGCTGAGCTGACCTGCATTTAAAATTCAATCCATCACGGCTTGCTTACATTGTGGGCACAACATATTGCAAGCACTGTCTGCAGAAGATTGCAACTGAGCACTATTAGCATGAGCAGAATCTCTACATTCAAGTTTTATTAGAAAATAAAGGTTTTTCTTTTTACTGGGCACTTCTAATACACCGGTATCACACATTTGGCATTTATTCCATCTTTTAAGCTTCCTGAGCAGTAAGAGAAATGAAGTGCTTATCTATTTCATTCAACTTCTGGCAGTACTCACACTTGCAGAAGCTCCTCACTTTGGACAGCCAGAGATGCCTATAAAGAGATCAGAAACTCATTAGGAGCAGATCAGCAGCCAGGAGTGGAGCAGAGGGCATGATCTGCCTCCTTAACCAGGCACTGCTGCAGCACTGTGCAGCCCCACTCCTGGCCTTCCAGGGCACCCTGTCCAACCTCCTTTGGCCAAGAGAACCCTGGCTGTGATACAGCAGGTAAAGACAGAGGTGAAAAGCTCCATAAGAACACTGCAGGCATAAGAAAGAGCACAAGGCTGCAAATTCACACAATAAAGAGAAGCAGGCACAGATATGCAACAGCCAGAAAAGCTGGCTTGGTGCAACCCAATCCCAAAGCTGTCCCTGGATTTGTATGGTCAATACAGCTGCTGGTGTTCCATATGAGCTACAACCACCCCCTTTGGCTGCCCTCAGGAACACTGCAATTAGAAGCTGTACCTGTTTGCAGTTCTCCTCCTTTAATTCTTGAATTTGAATTTTAAAGGATTCATTTTCTTTTTGCACATCCTGTTGAAAGAAAAGAGGCAATATATGCACATGTATACATACAGATACACACCTTACAACACAAGGCTCTTCTAGCAACACTTTACCTGCAACTGTTTTACTTGGCTTGCAATTTCTCTCTCTTTTTCTTCCACTACAGCTTTCAACTTCTTCATTTGTTCTTCTTCCCCTTTCAACCTGCAGAAATGGTTTAGAAAACAAGAAAAAAAAAAAATAACCAAGGGTTAACATAATTCATGCTAAAAAGGGGCAGATACTCTAGCTGGTACAGTTTTCAAACAGAGCAAGATAAATATATTTTGTGTGATGTATAGAATAGGCCAAAAGGAGAGCACAGGCACAGAACAGAAACCATTACACTATGACTCCAAACCAAGAAGGCTAACAAAAACACATGCCAGCTGCAACAACATGTACTGCAAACACTGACCTGCTAGGAGCTGGCCTGAAGCAAGAGAGTCATTCCATACATCCATCAGCAAACACATTTAGTCATAGCTGATCTCAACAAGGTTCAGAGCCCAAGTGGCAGAGAAGGAGCAAATCCTGCAAGCCAGCTGGCTCTGAAGGTGCCAGGGACAGTCTCCTAAAGGTGAGGCTGCCTTAGGTACCATGTCCCAGCTGTACAAGAGCTCTGCTGGGAGGGCAGCACATTACAAGAGCTGCACTGAAGACAGAGCCCTTTTTTTGGCACAGTCTCATGCAACCTTCCTCTGACTTAGAGTAGCCAGACAAAGCAGAGTCAAAACAGAGGAAAGTCTGGCAGTGTTTCTCCATAAAACAGGAGCTGGAGAATTGGCCATTGCATCTCAGACTGAAAATGGCAAACTGTATCTGTTCCTTGCTTTCACCAGCTCAGCCACGGGCACTTAAATCCACACTCTTTTAAACAGGCTAACAGCAGGAGAAATTATCACTAGACACATGAAGGAGCAGCAATTTCACTAGTTAGTGGAGCCCTGGGCAATCATTTGCTTTCACCAAGTGTAGGAGCACCACTCCTTAGGCAGGGACACTGCAGCAGTCACGCTGGCTGGTGTGAGGCCATCAGCACTAACAGCTTATTTTAGCAAAGCCCATAAAATTCTTGAAACCAATTCACAGTCCAATTTAAGAAGCACACCAGCACTGAATGCATATTATCAGCAGGCAGTTGAGAAACTGCTGCTAAGTGTACTCACAGGTTCTCCAGATCCTGGACTTGGGATGCAGCAGGCACCTGAAAAACAAAGTAATTGTCAACCTTGTTTTGATGGCACAGTAAAGCTTTCAAATGAACAGTGACTCTTCCAACGAGCAGGGGCACCACACAGCTTGCAAAACACTTGCTGAAGAAGTACCAGGAATTTTGCATCAGCCATTGCTGCAGGAAGATCTAAACCCATAATGGATTTCAGAAGCACAGCCAAAGTTTCCAAGCATTCCAAACTTCACACCAGGCAAACTCTCCATTCTGCCTTTCCCCTGGGATAAATGCCCCTCTAGAAATCCACCCAAAATAACAGTGCAACTCAGTTTCTCCCCTTCACCACCAACAAAAATACAAACTGAGCTAGAATATCACCTTATTGGAAAAATTCTTCCATTAAGTAACACCTGGCTTCAAAGATGTCCAGTTGCCTGTTCTCAAGTCCAGCGCAGGAAAAAATCAAAAGCCAAAACATTCCAGCCAGCCGCAACTTCTGCAACAGGCAGAGGCAGGAAGGAATCCCAGCAAAGCCTGACCACTTTAAGAGGAGCTGCTATGTTCAGTTACAGCAAGAGCTCCTCCACGACCACAGCCATACAGAGATGCTCCTTCAGGCTGGCAAGGAGGTACCTGTGACACAGCTGTGATTATGAGCTCTAAAGTTTTCAGATCAAAGCTGCTCATTTAGTCACATCAAGGTTAAGGAAAAGCTCTCGGAACTTGTTAGCCACGTAAAACCTGTTTCAGATGAACACAGTTGAACTAGTGAGGTCTCTGCAATGGAGACTGCCAGTTTAGCCAGGCAGGATCTGAAATAGCTCTGCAGGTTGACACCAGTGCAAACCCTTTGTGAGAGGCAGAGGACAAAAGCAGTTCAGCTGAGCAGCACTCCCAAACCACACGCACTCTGCAGACCATACCTGTTGGAGCTGTTGCAGGTTCTGTTGTTCCAGCTCCTGAACTTTACTGGTTAATTGTGCAATTGTATCCTTCTGACCCTTTTGGCAAAAGAAAAAAAAAAGCAGCAAGTTTAGAATTTTAAACATAACTTTTCTACAGCCAGAAATACTGCAACAGAACTTATTCTCTTTAGAACACCAGGGGAGCTTACCTGCAGCCACTCTCCTTTCTTAACAATCTCTTTCTCCTTCTCTTCCAATAAGGCCTCCATGGTTTTCACCTGCTTTTCCTTCCCCTTCAACCTGTACCATTAAACACACATAGAATAAAACCTTGCTCTCTATCCATCTGAAAAAAAAAGAGAGACATCCTGTGCTCTGCAGCACGTAACAACAGCAGGATCTGTGATCAAAGGCACAAACAATTCACCCACTGAAAGTCAATCCATGAACACTCCCACTTCAGTCTGGCTTAGCAGGAGATGCCCTTGATCAACGGTTCTGCTCATTAAGTGAGAGCAGACAAATTCTGTGCTGACACATTGCAGGGATTTCACACACACATGTGCTCTCTTCATCTAAAAATAATTCCTTATTCCTCCCTAAATGGGAGCACAAGGGACCAATGACTGTGGTGGCTCAATTCTCACTTATCCACACAGCAGCAGCACAGACATTACCAAAGTGAGTTTGCCCATGGAGTGCCTTCCCTACATCCTTCCATCCTGAGTTGAATTTAACCCCTTGTAGGTGAACTGAGGCTCATGAAGTGAAGGCAGCACTCCACCTTGTTTGCTGTCTCAGGCAGGAGCAGGTATTTCTGATAAGGACACACGTCTACTAAGACTAGTGTGAACAGCCTGGATCACTTCATGCAAAGCCCAGATGCCAGGCAAAAACATTTTAACTCAGACTAGAGAAGGGAAGGATGCACAGGGCAGGTCAAACATGTTAACAGCTATACTTACAGAGTCTGAAGTTCTTTGACTTGTGATGTCATCGACACCTAAACAAAATAATCAGTACTTCAATGTACATGGAAAAGACACAAATGCTACAAACTGTTCTAAGGAAAAACAGGAAAAAGGCATAAGACATCAAAACAGGCACTATTTGTCACAGTGACGTAAGCATAAATACATTTTATTCAATTTCTGGTGGGAAAATAAATGATGAGAACCCAAGTGTCTCCACTATTTACTTTCTCCACGTTTAAAAAGTGCCTTCCAGAGCAGAAAACAGCACAAACAGGAGCACAAGCATGCCCACCGGAGCACCCTTCCACCACGAGAGGTAAAGGAAAAAGCACATCCTGATGACAATCATCTCACCAGCAACTGCAGCTCAAATCAGAGAGATCACCCCTGGTCATTTAGACCTTTGCACTGGCAAGTGCTTTTTAGATGCTCTCTGCAATGCCAGCGCTCCTTCAAATTCCCATTCTAAGGCTGAACATGGATTGAAGAAAACAGATTTAGTGGGAATATTTCCTTTTAATTGTGTATAAAAGCCTAAGAGTGGCCATCTGTGCAGATACTGGCTGTCCAAACAGCCAGTTTACTCTTCTGCCACAACATGGCAAGAGTTTCAGACATGCCCCAAGCCCTCTCTTCTGCTTGCAGGAGACCAAAAGGTGCATAATGCACCACCTTTGGAGCAAGTATCCCTCATATGTAGCTTTCCAGGGAGAGCAACTCTAAACTGCATTTTCTTCTGGGCTCTGTGTCAGTTCCAGGGAAGGAAACACACAAATAATTCCTCCAGTTCCTAGGAATTTGCTTTGGAGGAAAAGCCCAAGACGGAAACACGTTCTCTGAAGCTTTGCCTAAAAAGGACAAAACTTTAACACTAGAGAAAGAAGAAAAGGGGGGGGCTATATGCTAGAATGTAGCTCAAAAGACTGAAAAAAGCACAGACAAGAAAACCCAACCCATACACCCCACAGAAACAAGCACCCTTCCTGACAGCACGATAGATTAAGCTGCCTGCAGAACGGGCTCCCTAAGGAAACGTGTGTTCCCATTGTTCTGGATGCTAGACAGCCAGCATGCCAAAAAAAGCCAATACTCCTCCATTTCTGCATTCCTGATAGCTCAAGTAAACTTATTCTGCCAAGACAGGCTTGGTTTTGGACACTGGAAAGAAAACAGTCTTAGGTTTACCTGGAAACCAGACACTATTTGGGCCCATAGTACTGTTCTAGCAACACAGAAAGGGCAACAAACAGAGAAGCACTTTCAGCACTTGTGATTTCCAAGATGCCAGCCCCAAAAGATGTCCCAGGGTCTCATGTTTACCACAGGGACAGCATGCAATACACCCAGCCAGAGCTAACACTATGATGCTTTAAGGTATAGCAATTCTTCCCAAATTTCATACTAAAAGGCTAAAAAGCTCAGGCATCTAGAGGAATGTGGTTTCTGGAGGACAGCAGTGCTTATACCTACACATTTACAGCTTTATGTTCAAGAACAGCATAGCTCTACCATTAAAAAGTTCCCTGACCCAATGACATTCACCAGTGAAAGAAAACACACCAGAACAGAAAGGAGTGAGCAGCACATCCAAGGCAAAGCTGTTTCACACTTCTGGCACTAAGGTGTTTTACCTGTTTTTCCATCTCAAGCTGGGAATTTCCTACTTCTTCTTTCAGAGCCTCTATTTCCTGTGTCAAAGCCTTTTCAATGACAAAACAGACAGGATTGGACAATGGAAACACAAAAACGCCACACAAATGGAGGCTACAAATTCATCACTCTAGAATGCCATGCAGTAACAAATAAATGGTAGTCAGTGGCATAGACACAGAAAGGAAGGTTGGTACTGCAGACAGAGATACCTGAACAGTCTTCTCCTTGCTGGCTACTTTAAGGATTTCACCTTGTAGGAGTTCTTCCACTGATTTTATTTTTCCATCCTTCTCATGGATTCTTAAAAAGAGTAGAGGAACAGCTGGTTGATCAAATAGAGAAGCTTTGGTTCTGCTATCACACTGCCAGCCTTTGGTACCCTCAGTGGGACCAAGCAGGAGAAAAGAGGAGGAATACAACTGGGAACAGTGCAGAACACACTGGCTTTATATAATCAGCAGGTCACAGGCTAAATAGATACTATTACTACCTAAAAATGCAAATTAAGGTTATCAACAGCCTCTGGAATGACACACACCTAACTTCAGCCTTCACTGGACATTCCAAAGTATTTATCAGCTTCAAATGCACACACAGACAGCAAACAAGCCCACCCCTCTTAGAGTGTCTACTGAATAAAAGCGTCTGTCTGACAATTCACTGCAATTCCTTGACTAGTCAAAGTTTGGCTTCTGAAGCTCCTCTGCTGAGCCATTAACAACTGGATGTTCAAAAGGTTCAAATCTGATGTGATGAGACTCCAAAGTGACACTGCTTCCACACGTCACCCAGCTGAAAGCACATCAACATTTCAGGGAAGCAACACACTTGTAATCATAGAATAAAGACAGACAGAAATGAAAATCAGAAGTGAAATCTGTACATTAACTTACACTTTCTGGAGTTCTTCCACCAGAGATTGGAAGGAAACCTGTTCAAAACAGAGTTTCAACTTAGAAAAAAAGAGAGCAAAACATTCTGCAAGAGTTAAGGGGTAAGGAGCAGAGAGCTTGAGCACTCTAGCACTGGGTAAACTACAGAGCAGCCCAACAATTTTATCTGGCTGCTCCTGAGAAAATTAGTTGTTGGTCTCCAGTTCCTGGCAAACCAGTAATACCAAGTCTGCCGCAAGTTCCAGAAAAACAAAAGCAAACCCACACCATCTTTACCAAGAGAGGATGAGGTTCAGGACCAGCATTAGACCAGCCAACCCTTTCAGACTGGCACTACTGTACACCTCCCCATAGTCACTGTGCTTCTCCTCTCTCTTAAGTGACTTTCTAGAAACTGGAAACCCTCCTGAGTTGTCCAAGAAGAGCTAAATGTCAAGGAAAGGCACATCAAAACCACTAATACTGTGACAGTGCCACTGCATAGAGACAAACAGAAGGGGGCTAAGTCACAGCTGCACAAGTGTGGATTAGCAGAAAGCTCAAACATGCATAATGAAGCTGGTGCACTAAGCTCCTGGAAAAAAAACAACCCACAGCCATGTGGCAAGCTCAAACCAACCCAGAACTGCCTCTGCATTGGAACCTTTACATCTGCCACGTTTCTGACACTTATGCAAAGGAAGCATTTGACAGAAGTCTCAGCTTGCAGACCAACGCTGGAAGAAAACAGGATGCTTTGCCAACAGGCTTCAAAGACATCTTCACCTTTTTCCCTTGGCTTTTGCAACCACAGCAAGATCCTTTTAGATTTAAGTTTAGGTGTAATGAAAGTTTTAGATGAAAAGTACTACCTGCTCTGATTGCTGAATTTGCAGACTTTGAAGTTCTTTTCTCAAGGATGAATTTTCTGTTCGCATTGCCTTTGAAAGCAGACACACAGATAATGAAAGACTCATTTGTTGGAGAAAAAGTGTTAAGCTTGATGGAAAAGTAATTTCTTTTAGAACAAGTGAAAGACTTTGAAAGTGTGAAAGAGACCCACTTTGCAGCAGTTAGAGCCCAAATACATAATTACTCATTATGGACAACTCAGAGTGTACTTCAGCCTATAGGAAGCTAGAGTCCAGGGAAACATCAAGGGGATGTGCTCACACCTTTGGCTGTTTATCAACCTGACAGGCTGGTAGTGTGCAACACCTCCCCAGCACAGGGGTGTCAGTGATGCACCTGGAATTTGGGGGCGTGAAGAGAGTGAGCATTGTCTTGGCTATGTCCAGGTAGAGAGGACACAGCCTTCCAGGAAACACAGCTGGAAACAGGCAGGGAGTTTTGCACTGCCCTTCCAGACTTTTCATCACTAGCTTCTTTATAAACAGAACAGGAAGAACACACCATCATCCCAGAAGTGTTGCTAGTCTATAATCCATGTAACCCTTCAAATTACTAAATAAAAAGATGTAGTGGTACCATAGTACCAATTATTTTTTACAATAAAACTTTTCCTAAAGGCAGACTTACTGCAGATTAGGCCAAATATACAATTCTGGAGATGTCTTCTGGAATAAAGTGTATACATCAAGTAGACAGCCTAGCAAAATCTGCTCTAGACTGAGCAGAGTAAAGCACTCGCTATACACCATCATTGCTCACCCTTACTCTATCTTACCAAAAAGGTTGTAACCTTGTCTCAAGATGCTTTTCTATTCAAAGGGAATGATCTCAGACTGCACTAGTGTAATGGTTTGAAACCTGCTGCCCCTGGTGGGTGGAGATCTGAAACCCTAAACCAGGTACAAGCCTGAATGAAAGGGGCGTACACCTGTCCTATTCCCACTCCCCTTTTTCCTGTCTTCGGGACTTCCTGCCAAGGTCTATAAAAAGGGGAGAAAGGCACGCCTCTTCCTCTTGCTCTCTTGCTCTTGCTCCTTTGACCTTGTACCTGGGCACACGCTGCTCTGCTGCTCCCTGTGCTACACGTGGCCGTGGCCATCTTGGAGACCTGGGCCTGATCTACAGACTCTTCCCTGCCTCCATCCACGTCCAAGGGTTGTGCATCCAGCTTCAATCCACCTCAATCCAGCGAGATCCAGCACCGGGGAGCCTTAGCACAGCATTTGGGTTTTGTATATTTGGAAGTTTAATCTTCCTTGCCTTGTTGTTCCTATAACCTCCCTTACTCTGTTAAACCCCTACCCTTTTTCCTTTCTGTACCCTGTTAAACCCCTTCCCTTCTTCCTTTCTGTTCCCTGTTAAATAATAGATTTCATTTTGTTAATTTTCCATTTGGCGCAAGGTTTTCATTACCCCTGCCTTCCTTATTTACCTCTCTACCTGGGAAACTGAGGGATAAGGGAGGTGGGACGCAATTCTGCCTTCTAACCGGGACAGAACAACTAGCAGCACTCAAACACTTTCCACAAGAGCACTTAATTTCTACCTCCCCATAAAAAGATAATAGTAGAGATTTTACCTTCAGCTCCTCCTCTTTATTAGCCATCTGTATGAGTCCTGCCTCAAGCAGCTCTTCAACTGTCTTGATTTTATCATCCTTCTCTCTCATGCTGAGAAATGAGAAGTGTTAGGAAAAAGAGAGTTAACCTCTGAAGGCAGTTTAGCTTTAGTAACCTTGCTGCCAACAAAACTGGGTCTTCCTTTTAGCCTCCAGTTCAAAAGAAAAAAGTTTCTTACCTTCTTTCCATCTGCTCTAATGTGTCTTTGTTGGCCTGTGAAGAACACAATAGGGTGATCATTAACTGGATCAATAATGGTTTGGGATTTTAAAAACAGAAATAATAATATCAGCTTAACCAGAAGCTTAGTTACCACACTAATCCAGAAGGGAAAACAAAGTACAGGGAGAACAGAATGTCCTTATGGCACGTGCCTCTAATTCTGATGCTGGAAAGATGTCAGTCTTTCAGGGGAGGTAAGGATCCATTGGTGATTTGACACTGATGGACCACAGGAGTTCTGGCAACAAGATGCTGTGGCACACAGGATCCCAGTGATCCCATGGAGTGTGTCAAGCATGCCAAGGACTGTGCAGCATCTAATCCACAGCAGCCAGCTCAGTACCTGAAAAATCTGCCTCTTTTGAACATTTCTCAAAACCACAAGCTCCACCTGAGGCTCACTCAGCAGAACATTTGTCATTTCTCAACACCAAAACATTATGAGAGACCACATGAGAAACACAAGCGAGCTACCAAGAAAAATCAGCCCTGCTTTCAGACAGGACATCAAATCAGCCAGACCCAGGGGGATAAGGCTGCAAATCTGGTTCTCTGCCAGAAGAAAGGGAGCCACTCCAGACAGGGAGCTTCTGGCTAGCAGACACCAGTGGAGAAAAATAAATTTCCTGTCCTGCAAGCCTTTTTCCAGTGTTTCAGAAGTTTTGTCATTCCACAAAGTCAGCAGTGTTCAGGAGAGCTCTCCCAGCAATGCTCACAAAGGAGATGGGGCTGAGCAGCATCTTTGTTGCTTTGAACCTGCAGCATCCTGTGTGAGTACCAGCCAGACTCACTGCAGCAAGTGTGCCATGGGCAAAAAGACAGAATAGAAGGGACAAAAGACATGACAACAAACAGTTTACCCATTTCATGGGTCTGTTCTCTTACTACTACTGGTTTGAGAGTTTGTTTCAGGATGGAAAGAAAAAAAAAAGTAGGGTAAAGATCCTACCCTGGTCTCACCATAACCGAGTAAGAGTCCTCTCCCCTGAAAGGGCTGGTTGTTTAAGGGATTTTTTTTAATACCAGAAAATTGCCAAAAAGAAACTAAGAGAGGTTGCAGAATTAAATTCTTGCTTGTGTGAAGCTAGTGTTCTTCAGGGGAGAGGGGGATCCACATTTTGTTTGGACACTCTTGGCTAGATCTAGAAGACAGTCACAACTGCCTTACTTGAACCTTCTAAAGAAGAGAACGTACCTAAAAAGCAACAGTCCTTGACACCAACTAGCTCAGCCTTGGGCCAGCTTAATTACAAAATACCTGAGAAGTCAAAAAGAGCAGAAGGTATTTGATACCACCTCAGCAAGCACTGGCTGTACCTGCTCAGACAGGAGAGTCTGCAGCTTCTGAACTTCAGCCTGCAGAGCTGCGTTTTGATCCTTGAGAACCTGGAAGGAAATTTAAACATTTTATCAGTTCAGAACTGCAAATCCTAGCTACAGCATTTTCATAATGGCAGTGAGGTAATTAAATAGCACAGAAGTTGTTACAGAGAGTTCTTTGGAAGCTACAAGACTACAAAGAGTCCTTTCCTCTTCTTCCTTGCTTTTCTGTATTAATACTTTTGTCCTTCTGTTCCTGTGAGAAATTCAGCTGTTACTATCTTCATTCCCTGGCAGAGAATCAGACAGTATCAAGTGTGAGAGGGAAGAGGAACTGCATTTTCCCCCTAAAGCAGTACCAGCATCATGTCAAGATTTGGTAGCTGCCTCTTACAAAACACTCATTTGGTGAAGCCAAGGGCCCAGGATCACCTCCTGAGCTCTCTTCAGCTGCCTCAACACTGAGGATGCACAGCAAGGAGCTGGCAGGCCAGCAGCAGAAGGGTTTGCACAGCTCCCACACTTTGGTCCAACTGCAGGCTGGAAAGAGGCAGACCGAGAAGACACCAAGAGCTGTACCACAGACCTTGCCTCTCCTCCAGCACTCCTGCTCCATACAGACACATGAGCACTCAACAGACACGCTGCCTGTCTGGATTCCCCACACACAGTTTAAAATCCTCCTCTATTACTGCTTTTTGCTTTACAAAGTCTTTTTAAAGACTTGCCTGGACATTTACAAGTGTAAAAAGCAGGGCATGTGATCTGTGCTTCAGACTCCAAGACTTCCAGGGACAACATAAGCAAGAAGGGGCAGCAGTGGCAAGGATTAAAAGAATTGCTCTGGTTTAAACCTGGCTCTTCCCTCTTTCATGTGCCTGGGAACAAAGCAGCACTTCCTCAGGTGGAAGCACTTAGTGGAGAGCTGGTCTGGCTTATGTTTGGGATCAAAGACAGGAGAAAGAAGAGGGTAGAAGGGCACACAACATTCATGCTGCAAGCACACTGGGGACTCCCACAGTATCACAATGATGATCATGATGAATTATCTGTGTTCAGTTCTCTGCTCACTTCCCAAGAACTGCTAAAATTGCCTCCAGATGATTTTTACCATCACTTAGCATGCAGTTGATTTCAGCACATAACCATCCACCACGCCTCCAAGGTCTTTTTCCTGGGTAAGTTACTACAAACACCATCCCATTAAAGGAAGTTCAGATCATTCCTCCTTGTATTCATTTCCAGCACTTCTCCTGCCACTTTAGAATGTCCCACCACACTCAAAGCCCTGAGAATGTCACTAAATTGAGACTTGTCAGCTCAATCCTGCCACCTCTTCCCACTCCCTTTCCAGATTATTTATGCACCCATTACCCAAGCACACTTTACTGAAGATTCAGTCAACACCTTCATTACAAAAGTCAGCTGAAGCTGTATTTTATTTCCTATTTTATTAATTGAGCAAACATCTTCCCTTCTGTTCTCTGACAGCTTGGAGAAACTACTTGGAGCCTTGCAAAAGACTCATCAAAATCTCTCTGAAAGTGCCACTTTAAGATGTGAATCAAGTCTCCTACTTGCTTGCTAACACCTTCAAAGAGCTCCAGGAGACTCGTGAGGCATGGCTTCCTCTACAAAAGCACATTGACTCTACCACTGCCCATTGACTTTGTTCCTCACTAGTAAATCTACCAACCTGACATTATGAGATTCAGAGTGAGTGACCTTTCACCAGAACCCACAGAAGAGCAGCAGTACTAAACATGAGCTTGAAAGGAGTTAAAAAGATGGAGTTATCACCTTTCTTGGGAAGCAGTTATATTTCGAACAGTTAAGTTCAGAAGAAAAATCCTAAGGTGGCAGGGGGCAAGGAGGAGTTAAGTTGCTCTCTGTGCACACCACCCAGAAACAAGCACCAGCTTTGCTGTGCTGACCCCACATGTCAGAACTAAAAGCTTCAGCAGTTGAGCTGTAGTCTCATGAGAAACCATTTGGGAGATGGCAGGATAAAAAAAAAAAAAAAAGAAAAAAAAGAGGCATTTTCACACCAAAATTGAGAGAGAAAAAAAAAAAAAATAAAAGGCCTAAGAAGATGATAATCCAAGCAACAAAAGCTCACACCAAGGCCTCAGAAGTCATATTAGAGGGTGGAATGCAGGAAAACCACAACAGCTTTTGCTGAACCCCCTCTTCCAGATTTCATAGACTTCACCCTTCACAACTGCAGACACTGCACTCAGCTTGTGTTACCCCACCTCTCACTCCACTGCACAGTTTGTTGCTGCTGTGACACCCTACACTGCTCTTGCCTTGCAGACAGAATACTATAATTTACCTTAACACCTCAAAGTCAGTTCTGTTTTACAAATCAACACTCAATTGTATGAACTACTCCACCAACAGCAAAATCTGGAAAACTTACTATAAATAAGCACAAGAAAAGCTATTCTCTATCTTACCTTGAATTCTTCTTTTGTGTTTGAAATCTGAGCAAGTTCTTCTCGGAGCTGATCTTCAAGAGTTCTTATTTTGTCATCCTTGATGTGAATGCTGAGACACAGCAGAAGAGTTAAATATGTTTCCTCACCCAAGTCTTACAGAAAGCATTGATACAGAAAGAATGTAAAAGGCTGACAAACATTGTTTATCAAATCCCAGAGCTATTTACCTTTTCTGCATCCTTTCCAGCTCATGTGCAGCAGCAGCCTAGATATAAAGAGGATTAACACAGACTTAGGATACATCACATGATTCAATCAACCTTTCATTCCACAATATTAAAAAGCTAAAACAAGTCATTTGGCCTCTCAGCACATGACTCATTTAGGAAGGGTGAAAGGGGTAAGCTTGTCTTCATGCACTTTTAAAAACACCAATATATACTAGGCAAGCAATTACACAAAGGGAAGAAGATCTTGAGGAGATTCATTTGCCAACTGGGATTATCTCTAATTAAACACTTCATTTCCACTTCTGCAATGCACAGTCCACACAGCAGTAACAGAAGGACAGCATTTTGTTTGGTTCTAAAAAGATATCTAGGGTGAGGTGGGGGTGTTTTTGTGCTTTTGGGTTTGTTTTTCCTTTTTTTAGAGGGATGCTTATGACCCTTGTATGTAAAAGCCAGGGCTGCATATTCAAGCACAGTTGTATTCACTCCTGTGAACTCTCCTGCGCTCTGCACGCCTGCAAATCCAAACCAACCCAGCAAACTGCTTCAGGAACTTGGATATCTAAGAAAGATTTTGCTGGTGAAGAAAGGGTAAGAATTAGACCTCCCACCAGCTGTAAGAACTCCAGGAAATCACATATTAGCCTGATTCAGTAGCCTCACACCTTTAACGTGCTTAAGTACAGCTTGCTTAAAGCCATGGGATCTGCATTTGCATTTATAACAGAATAGGCAGTGAAGAGGGAGTAAAATATTAAATGAAACAATTATTTTACCTGTTCATTTGTCAGAGCCTGTAATTTCTGTACTTCTGATTTCAGGGATAGGTTCATATTCTGTAAGACCTGAAGGAAGGAGAAAAAGAAATATATTTGCATAGAGGTAGTATTTCAGGTAAGTTCACTCTCCAGTGCAAAGTATTTCAGGTCACTTTTTGAAGGACTCTAAAGGCAATGGAAAGGAGGAGCCTTGAGCTTGCTTATTTTTCTTATAAGCTTTCTTATGAATAGCCAGGGTGTCAAGCGTGAGGGTCAAGAGGCCAGACTGATTTTCAGTGGTGCCCAGGGACAGGACAAGCAGCAATGGGCACAAACTGGAACCCAGGAGGTTCCATCTCAACAGGAGGAGAAACTTCTTTGGTGTGAGGGTGTCCGAGCCTGGAGCAGCTGCCCAGAAAGGCTGTGGAGTCTCCTGCTCTGGAGAGATTCCAAACCCAGCTGGATGCTGTCCTGGGCACCCTGCTGTGGATGAGCTGCTGGAGCAGGGGGGTTGGATGAGGTGATCTCCAGAGCTCCATTCCAACCACACCATTTTGCGATTCAGTAACAACTACCCAGCATCAAGCATGGGCCTTGCCTAGAAGAGCCAAATCAGCAGATTTGTAGCTGAAAGAGCTATTTCTAGAGCCACAGGCAGCCTTAGAGGCTTCAGTTTGTACACAAAGCCAAGGAGCCTCTCCTTGTATCAACTGGCATTCACACATGCTTTTATCCTACCTTTAGCTCTTCCTCCTTGCTGGTTAAGTTGGCACGTTCATTGCCTAATGAGTCCTCCATCTGCTTTATCTGTTTGTCCTTTTCTGCAATCCTGCACAGAGGAGGAATGATGACACACCACCACTAAAAGGTCTTGGATGAAAGTGGCACATGAAGCATCAGGCTAAACACAAAATACATGCTGGCCCTTAAGGTCAGCTTCTACTCTAAATCCTGCTGACAGTACACTTTGGGTCCAAAAGCTTTTTCCATCCATTTTAAATGCCGTTTGCTTGCCAAAAATTTGAGACATTCTCTAGCTCTGAAACACAACTACCCCATCTCCCAAAGGGAGAAATCTCCTGGCACAGCCATGTAGCCCAAATATTAACAGTTCTCATGGTCACACACATTCCTGCACGTCGCACTGATCCCTGCCCATAGGCAGTGGGGAAAAAGAGAGGAGACCTTGCTTGCTGTATAGCACAGCCACGAATAACAGGCTCCAAACCTGAGACCAGCCACAGGAGGGAAATCTGCAGGAAGCTGTTTCCCAGCTCCCAGATCAGTCTCACAGGGAGAAGTTAAAATCACAGACAGCAACATCTCCTTCACTGGTCGCTCCCATGTGTGGGGGAAAGATGGCATCTATTAAAAGCCCATCACACCTCCCAAATGCCAGAGGAATTGAGTGCTCACACTTTGTGTAGTTCTTCTGCCAGGACTGAAGCTGAGGTCTGCAGAAGGAAAAAAAAAAGAAAAAAAAAATAGCTGAAAGTAAAGCAAGTCAAAGAATCCCTGAGCCAGGAACAGCATTTGTAAGATTTGTCTAGTATTTTATACTGGCACAGGATGCTTCCAACTATTCCCTGGCTCAGGAACATTGAAGGAACACCAGCACATGCTAATGGCCCTTCCCCTGTGGCCTAAGGCAACATGATGGGAAAAAGCGAAGCATCTTATTTGCTCTTTACCAGATTCAAACAAGCCATGGGGATCAGCAGCACTCGCCTCACAAGGCTCAAGTGCTTTCCACAACATCCTGCTGACAAACTACTTCCATTTTAAAAAAAATAAAACCTTGCACAGGGCATCAGGACTTGTTTTAAGAACAGAAACTGCTACATAAAGCCAACAAGGGGCATTTTTATTCCCCTGGAAAAAGCCTGTTCCTATGTGGTCACCCACGACAGGGCAGGAGAGACCTCTCACAGTGGTTATCAAGGCACTGAGGGACCTCAGCAGACTGACTGCTCCACATCCAGTTTGTCAGTCCAGCCTCTCCTCCCCAAAGTGCCATTTTCACACCCACAGGCCATGGTGGAAAAGTGGCCCTGAATTTTGACAGATACTGGGGCTGCATAGGGAAGGAACACACCTCCTTGTGTATCCCAGAGCTAAGAAGTTACACTTCCTTAGGGACTTATTTTCAAAGCTCTTTTAAAGGACTAGGAGAGGAGTAGGACATGAAGATGCTGTAAATCCAGAGTGCCTCTTCCTTCACTACTCTCCCCACCCAGTGGGTTAAAGCACTTCAAATAAAGCCAGATGACAGTTTCAGTCTGATGCCTGAATTTAATTAAACTGTATCAAGGATGTCCATCGTGGACACAGCACCCAACTGCACAGAACAGGCTCCACTCGTGCCCCCAGAACTTATGGTCTTTGACCCAGTTTCTGTGACTTAGCTCTACATAGAGGCAGCTCTACTGACTCAGATTTTATACAGTGTTTACAACAGAAACTTTTTCTCAAAGAAACTAGTCTAACATTTTAGAGATTAAAAGAACTGAGAAAGACATTGTCCAAGTTTGGTGGTTTTTATCTCCTGCACAGAGATCACCACTGGTATGGACAAACAGCATTAAATGGGAGCTCCCAGAAGATCCTGTTTCCCAACCCAATGCACAAGGGAAAAGCATGATCAGGTGGTTCAGAGAACTGCAAAAAGACCAAAGAACCACAAGACAGAGTTGTACACATGCAAAGCTACAGAAAACACATGTTCAAAGAGGTATTCCACCCTTTGGTTATAACCGAAAGCCACTACTGGAAGAAATATGTGAGTTTTTTCCCAAAAAAGCACAGCAGAAGCTTAAGCTTTAAACCAGCTTGAAAAACATTAGAAAAGATGCTAAAAAGTCTTTGCTTTCAGCATTACACATCTCATATCCAGCTACAAAAGAAAGAAACCTGACTTAATGAAAGTCCACAATTCAAGACTACAAAAGAAAGTCTGAGAACATGCTGTACCTGGGCTGCCATTTGTGAATGAAACTTCTGAAGCTGAGTATTCAAAGCATCATTCTGCTCTATCAGCTCCTTGTAAGAGAGCAGAGAAAGACAAGCAGGCTGAGATCTGCAGCTAGTCAACTGGATTAGCTAGTTAACTAGGATTAGCTCTTAGCCATGATTACATTAGTAAGAACAGTTCAGCATTTACATGTCAGACACTTGCCAAAGATGCTTTTTTTCTCCCCACTAAGATCAACCAGTTTGAGTGGAAGCCCTAAAACCTGTTCTGTATTGAGTGCCAAATGTTCCCTGCCCCACCACACACCATTTGGTTTCCCTAAAGCTCTCAGGAGTTCTGTCCACACTGCTGCTCATGACTTGATGCCAGGAGAAGAGGGATCACTCCAGAGGAGCTCTCACAAACATCAAAGCCACACGGCTGCTCTTCCAAGGTGTTCCCCAGACCACGTTGTCATTTCACAGCTTGGGACATCACCTGGCTCAGCACATTTGTGTGACCTGCCCAGAGCATTTCTCAAGCCTGAGATGGCCCCAGACCTCCTCACAGCACCACACACAAGGTCTCACTTCACAAGTTGCTGGCTGATAGTCCAGCACATAGTTTTCCCATTATTCAGTGGGAAAGCTTTACTAAAGCAGCGTTTCAAGGACATCACTGTCTCCACTGGCACAAAGCAGGAGGAAGAAACCAAAGCTCATTCAGATGTATGGGCAATACTACCTGCACCTGCATCTGCATGGAGTCCTCCGCAGAAGCTCTCTTTTGCTCAGCCTCCATCAACTGCAACATCCTCTGCTCCAGCTGCTGTTTTGACACCATTGTATCAGTCAGTTTACTGTGCAAGCTCTGGATTTCATTGTCTTTGGCCACAAGCTTATTCTGCACATCTGTAGCAGAAATGTCAGGATTTTAATTCAGAAGTAAATATTTAATTTGGGGGGAAATCATTTTCACTGTAAACAGGGAAGCTGATTAGAAGCCTCATTTCAGCAAGCCAGGGTTCAGCTCTCTCATCAACATTCAGACTGACTGGTATCACAACATACTCCTTCCCCAGGGTGCTGAAGCTGCAGTGAGTTCACCTGAGCTTTGTTTCAGCTGCTCAGTAATGCTTCTGGCAACAGCCAAACCACTGAAGCAAGCATTACCTGGGAATTTTGTGATACATGCCTTGTTGGGCTGCTTCGTGTTCCGCTGTCCTTTTCCTGAGATAAGCCTGGATTTCTTCCCATCTTCTCTCTGCTTCCTGCTGCTGGACCTTCACACAGAAGGGAGAGTTGATGAGAAGTCTAACCTTTATTTTTGAAACATTCAGAGTGCGTTTCTTTGGTGCTATTCCCAAAACATACGGCAATGAAGTAAAATTGTTTCTTGTCTCCCTGAGGGCACATGAGGGAGACAGAGTGCCCTGTAATCCTCCTCCTAGAGTAGTTTAGTCTATTAATTTGAAAGGCAAATTGTGAAAAGAATTTCATTATAGGCTCTTAGCAGGATGGCTTCTGTAATACTAACACACAGCATCTTTGCCCTGCAAATTCAAAATTAACACTACAAGCCAGACCAGCCATGCATCACTGAAGTCTGCATCTAGTAATTAAAACATGTCTCAGCTTTAGATATCAACTCTCCACCTGCAAGGATGAGAGGCAAGGAGAACTCCTGATAACTAGGATTTAATTGCAAATACAAAAAAAAACTGATGAGCTCAAAAACGTTTTCTTCCAAAGAGAAGGGAAAAGATGTATCCAGAAGCCAGTCCATTCACATTTTAACTCCTAAAAGGTGTATTTAAAAATTTAAACAGGCTTTTAAGGAAAAATATGTCATTTAAAATGAAAATCACAAAAGGACAATGCCCTCTAGATGAACAACTCTAAAATATCACATCTTACTCGAATTGTACATTCAAAGCAAAGCTCAACACCACCTGTGAAGCTTTCCAAAAATGTTTACCTGGAAGGGCAAGTTTCACTTCATAGGGAGGTTTGTAATCACTCAAAACCCAGAGTATTGAATAAAAACAATACTGAATAAGCCCCTAGGCTGGCTCAGCGTTATCTTAAAATAGATACTTGCACACAGAAAGAAGACAGAGAGATTTAGTGGCCAAGGAAACAGCCCAAGAGCTTCTCACACGCCTTACATCCCCCCCCCGCCTCAGAACTTGGCTCAAAGCCTCGAGCAGACCTCGCCAGGCTGAGCAAACCCAATTCACCTTTAGCTGAGCAACTGCCTGCTCTGCGTTCTTCTTCTGGAGCTCCTCCTGCTGCAGCTTGCTGCTCTTCTCCCCCAGCTCGTTCACCAGCCGAGCATAATCCTGGCGCAGCTTGTTCAGCTCCGCAGACTGCCTGAAAAGAAACATTTTCACAGGGTTTGGGGTTTTTTTTCCACAAGAAGCATAGGCCACAACAGCAGCTACTCAAATATCAACACCCAGTCCTGTATTTGCAGCCAGGGGGCTGTGCTTGGTGTAATTTTTTTTGTTCTCCACGCTGCTTCATCCTAGAAAAGGGGTGAGGGTTGGGTATTCTTGGCCATCGGCGCAGCAGCTACGACCCACTGAGTCAGAAACAAAAGGTCAGCAATAAGCCACAAGCATCAGTTCCTTTCAAATGTTGCAAGCTGATGGGCATAATTTGGACAGGCTTATATAAACTAAAGA